CAGTGCCGCTATGGACGAACTACCGATTGGGTTTTCGTTCTTCTCGGCATTATCGGTGCGCGGTTGAACGCAGCTAAAGATTCCGAGCGATCAACGGCGCGAACGGTCCGTGATTCGGAACGTGCAGTTAAAAAATTTATCGAACCAAACGTTCTCTCGTGAAATTCGCAGAGAACAGAGCTCTCCGACGCAAAAGGGATTTTATCGTATACGCTTTCATTTGATATCAACTTCGTTGGCTTTCAATAAATGAAGATGGCTGAGCACGCAGTGGATAGCCGCGAAGTCATTTCCCGGCGTAGCGTTCAGAGCGCGGTTTATATTTTATGGGGAGTAAACCACTGGAGAAGCGACGATATCATCCGGCAAAAAACGTTATCGAGACGTAACACGCGCAAAACCGAGCGAGCGGCGAGCCTCGATTACGAGCATTTTCGCCTAGCAAACCGGCGATTTCAGGTTTTGCTGGATCGCACAAGCGATGCGGGGATCGTGGGTAACGCGCGGGGGATGATTCTACACTCGGTTAATATCCGCGACGCCCGCGACTACCCCTTCCCTCCCTCATTCGCCCTCTCCCTCCTTCCCCCCGCCCGCCACCTCATTTCCCGATGACCGAGCACGCGTGCACGCGTGTGCGTCGTGCGCGCGGATAATAATTATTTTCGTAATTTCCTGGCATTCCGCGCGACGAGCCCATCAATCCGAAAATCGTATAAACCGACTGTCACATTCACGCCCAAATTCAAAATACGGAGGGTGGAGTGTCTCCCCCGTGCTCTTCCGCAGCGGCCCGGTCGCCCGCGCGTCCTCGCGGCCCGTCAAATACCATTTAATCCCCCGTGAAATCCGGTTTAATTTCGCCCGGCGCGATATCCCCGGGAGTCCGCCGTCGAATGGGTACCCACCGCGCGGCGAATCGAAATCTTTCCGACGTCATCTTCCGCCGGAAAATGTCTCGCTCTCTCCCGGGTGTGCGGGAACGTCGAGGGCTGGTGCCGGGCGAAATCAAACTTCGCCGAGGTTGCTGGAA